TATGTGGGACACCCTGTATAGGTACTTATTGAGGGTGAAATATAATGCTGCCCAGGGCTTCAAATAGAGAATATAGATATTTTCTAGAATACCGCCATTATTCCATGGCTAGAAATTGGCCTCAATGATTTGGGATCGAGGGGGATTATCCCTCTTTATCCTGCCTCATCTCGTGTAGGCCTGGACAGCCTTCGGTAGGTGGGCCCTATCTGTCGTCTACCCCGACCACAAATGCGGCCGGTGTAGGCGCTTTGTGGGACCTCCTTTTGTCCTGGCTGGGCCCCGCCGGCTAGGGCCCTTTCTTCTGGCGCTCTTGCTTCGCCGGCTCGTCTGAGTAAACCCCGGGGGTGATGTCATGTTTATGGTTGGGTAGGGTAGTGCGACTATGCAGCCTGGGATGCGCTTTGCTAAGGCGGCCCTTTGGCTAGCGCGGGACGGAAGAGGTAAGGAGAGTATGGGGGGTTCTAGAATACCAGTAGTTGTAAATAGCTTGGCTTAAAGTTACTCTTTAGTGAATGTTGCTATCAAAAAGCATAATTAGGTATATACTCGTATGTACAGCGCTTGGTCCATTTTCAATAGGAATTCTGAGTAACTTAGAAACTACTAAAGATATAATAATAATAACACTATGTTCTCGAATTCGATTTTCATAGCAAACTCGACTGACAAATTAGAAATGTGCTATCTTCATTTGTTTCTGAGTTACAGGGCCTTCCTCGTTATTATGGCATTTTTGAACATATCTGTTAAAAAAATTAAAGTAAAAACTGCTCAAGACTAATTCTTTGGCGTGGAATTGAATGCCCATATTAGATTTTCAGTAGATCTTATATAAATTAAATAACTTTTTTTACTTTTTAATATGGTTGGCTATGAAAATATGTAGGTACATATAAAACTGTAATTTTTACTTTTACAAAACTCATATCTGTTGTAAAAATATGTTTATTTTAAATACAGTGCAACCTCTTTAATCCGAACACCACATTGCCAGGCATTGTTCGTATTATCGAACATATTATAAAGATTTGTACATACGTATATTATGTAAGTACATACACATTTTATTATAACAATATAAATATAAATCATATAAGACATACAACTTATATAAGATAAAACATAAACATGTAGTTACATATACATATATGTATTATTTTACGCTTTTCACATTTTTTTATTTTTCTTCCAAAAAAACTACAAAATTGTTACACAAAACACGACACGCAACAGGTTCTTCGCTATCGGCAAACAAACTGAATGCCGACTACGCGCGTACGCGCGATGCGATCTAGTCTTTTCTTGTCATCGTTCAGATTTGGCCGTTCGGATTAGCGTGTGATCGGATTAACGTGTGTTCGGATTAAAGAGGTTGCACTGTATACATATATGGAAGATAAGAAAATACAGAGTTTTCAAATTTTCAGTTCAAATATAATTAATTTTAAAATTTAATCTTGCAATTTTTCAAAATTTCAAAAAGCGACGTCAATGAAAAACAAAGAAATTAAAATTTTTATAATGTTCCGTCGAGAAGTTATTGAGAAATCTATATCCTGCAAAGTGCTTCCACTTCAAGCCTTAAAGCATACAGGTTCCTAAGAAACCTGAAACAATCTTTTGTTTTTTCTTGGTTTTGGTGGTACAGATTCTGGAAATAAAATGCAAATATTTTTTGAAATGCCACTTTATTGTAAAAATGGTATTGGCAAAGTGAAGAGTTCCAGAGAAAAAAATTGATTTAAATTTTTTACTTCAATTATCATTAATTTATACAGTCAATTACTTAAGGGTATTCTAATCCAATTAAACTTCATCTCTTTATTAATTTTGCTTTTATATCATATATTCTTTACGATGACAATATCTCTAGAAAGTCAATGTCTACTGAGATGTAGCTCTCTGAACGTAAAAGTGTGAAGTCAATAGAAAAAATAAATGTAAGTAATTTAAGTATGATTTTGAAACATTTAACGCCTTTTTATATTTTTTATTTACATTTTTTTTGAAAAGGGATCAACTGAACTGTAAGCCTAAAATGAGAACCAGTTTCAAAAAATGAAATAAAAATACAGGAAGGTATTTCAAAGAAATAAGTAATATGGTGCAGTATTTTTTTAAACAAACATGATAATAAGAAATTACAGAAATTTTTGAAAACTTTATATATTTTAAATACTGGCAATTCACTGGTTGGAGAACATATGATAACTTGATGCAAACAAAAAAAAGATAAAGCATTTTTTTAACAACAGCAATTTACCTAGTTATAGCCCGAGGAAGTTTTTTATTTAATACATAATATTCATTGTTTGGAAGCTGATTTATCTTTTTATTTTTATTTATTACTTGGGTTGTTATTCTTGCCAAACCATTAGTTTTTATAGATTCTATTATAAATAATAATCAACATTATTTTGTAAGACGATTCTATATTCTCCAATTTTTAAATCAAATTCCCCGACAAAGAGGATTGATAGTAAATTTTCGGATTTTTTTCCCAACTTTCTGGGACCCCTATTATACAGCTTTAGAAACTATGTCTAGCAACTTAAAAAAATAAGTTGTGTTCCCAAAATTGAGCTTGTAATATTTCATCAGTATAATCTGTTATAACATTATATTACCGTGTTTTCCACACAGAAATTATATTTATTTTGTTATTTTAATAGAGATTATTGATAAAAGATACAGCGCTATATAATTAATTACTTATTTACTTGGAATAATGGACCAAAAATTATCAGCAGTACAAAACAATAAATATAAAGTAGACGTTATTTTTTTAATCCCACTTTTGTATGGAGTTCAACGATCTAAGATAAAAATAACTTTGGCAATATAACGCTTGTCAAGTAAACGAAATGTTTTGATAAGAATTTAAGTGTGTTCGCCACACTTTTCACCTTGGGTATATTCACACAATTACACTGACGTACTTTTTTTGGAACAATTACTGAATAATTGAATGAGGAATTAACTAATTAAGCGGATTAGTGATGTTTTCTTATTAAATCAAATGTTAATTGTGGTAAAAAGATTACATTGTTAATTACAAAAAAATATTAACGCAGGTTTTTGTACATTCAAAATTTCCTTTAAAAAAAAATTTGATCTAATAAAATCAAAAATTGGTATGTAATACATATAATTCTGAATTGTCATCTTGTCCAGTGGCATATACAGGGGCCAGCCAAGTTTTATAATAAAGTGTTCCATAAATAAATATGTAATTTTAATATACTGAATTTTCAGTTCCTTGATTTTTTGAAGTACATTATATGTACATAGGTATATTACTGATTATACCCAAATATTGTATGAAATTACCTTAAAAAGTTTCTTAAAATGTAATAAAATCTATGTACAATTTTAAATGCATTATCAAATTATTATTATTTTACATATTTATTATTTTGATATATTATTATGTAACTTATTCATTAATAAACTACAAAAAGAAAAAATATTTTTTTTTTCTAAAAAGTTGAATAAACAAAAAAAAATGGTGACTATATAATATTGTTGTATTATAATTTATAGTACTTCTTTATTACAGATTCTAGCTCACCAATAATACAGCTAAATTTAATTTTTAACAATTATATTATCGAAATTTCAAAATAAAATATTAAACTAAATATAAAATCTTTGATCCCATTAAAGTGTCCAGTTTCCTTGAAAAGCTGAATTTTAGCTCTGAAACAAAAGAAATCTAAGAATAAATCAAATATCATGAAATATGAATATATGAATATCAATGAAATAAATATAAAAAAAGTTAAATAATAAAATGAAAAATACAGCTTGCCCCTCAGTTTATTAATACAAAAAATTAGAGAAAGGTTTCACTAATTCAAGCTATCTAACGAAAAAATAATAGATAATAGTTTTTTCTAAAATACTTACATAGTTTTAAAAAAATTATACATTAAACATCTTCTAATTTCTAAATGTATTTCTTGAATCTGCATCAATTTGTTCATTAAATAAAAAAATTACTGTTAGTAACACCTATATCATATAATGCAACAAACACTACACAAAACTAAATATAAGATTTAAAAAAAAATGGAAAAGTATATGCTATAAAGTAATGTCCAATAAAGAAAACTGATGTTGTTTTTAAGTAATATCAATTCTTCAAAATATTTCTTGACAATAGATTTCAGAAAATTGTTTTCAAAAGATCAGCAAAGGTCGCACTATGATTCTGAACAAAATAATTTAAAAAGGTTGGTTAATTAGTTATTATAGTTAATTATTAATTTATATATATTTTGACATAACTTTATCATTAAGTCACATGCAATTAGCACAATCTTTATTTTAAATGTTAAAACTTGCAGCAAAAAGGTCTGAGGTTGGACCAAAGACCCTGTCTCCGAGTGAGAAGAAGACAATTGACAAATTACCCATGCGACAATCGAGTCGCTGCTTACATGTTGGCTTTGTTGGGTTGTGCTGTTTTTGGTTTACTTGTACCGTTGGATATTACCTCCAAGTAACGGTAAGTGTCTAACTTCACCATCGTGTTACTGATTATTGATTTTTACCAAATTTTTCATACCTAATCCTAATACAGTTCACAAATGTAACAAACGTGAATCGTACATTTCAATTAATTTACTTAATATCACTTTACATTGCCAATATTAATAAGAAAATTTAAAGTTGTTTTAGTAAAGCCTTGTACTGTACAAAATGGGATTAAAAAAATTACATACTTATAAGAAACTGATGCCCACCTTGTCTTTATCTCAAGTCCTGTCAGGATAACAGCATATGTCCATCGTGGAAAGAAACAGAATTGGAACAGGCCTCAAAACATATGTAACTTTGAAAAATTAGTGGGCTGTCGATAAATTATCAGTACCTATATTTGCTAGTAACCAAAGGTCAAAGGTGATAATTAAATAATTTGGCTTTGGACATACTCCTCACTTTCTGTAAAAGTATAGAAATAATTGTCAACATTTATAAAAATTAAAAAAATATTATGCAACAATTATTTTTTATTAAAACAATACAGAAAGCATTTATGGCTGGTGGCATTGGTGTAAATATTAAAGGTGTTAACAATTTGTGGCACTAAGAAAAGTCCATTAACATGTCAAGTGGTACAGTCTTATTAAATGAACAATTCCTGGGAAGGTTGCCAGTTTGTTGGTTTCAAATTCTTGACGTTTTGAGAAACATATCATGTTCGTCTTCCAAAAAAGAAAAGTGATATGCCCTGGAAACGTCACGAACTAAAGACTGATGACATAGCACCCAGTCTGCAAATTGGTCAACCATTGGTAATTGCCTCGGAAACCTGTAAATCAGGAAATATTTACATTCATGACACAAGATTGGGATACAAATGTTTGGTATGAAATGTTGCTTTTGTGTCTTCCAATAAGCAAATTCTTTCCGTTGACCCATGATAAATAAATTTAAAATCACTCATAATGGTTATGCACAAGAAGGCAGCTTTATGAAATGCAACTTTCATAATAATTCATGCAATGCACATTTAAGTAGGTAGGTGGTTTTAGAGTTGGTACACGAAATGTTTTTAATACAAATAAAATTGACCTTTTTATAATTCCAGACTTACCTGTTATACGTTCCCTCTTACACAAATGGATTTTATTTTTAACCACGCAAAAAAATTAACATGGCGATTAAATGTTGTTGACAAAACAAACAAAACACCTGTAGAAACAAATTCCACAGGTGATGTGATCTACGAGTATGTAGCCAGGCTATGTGTATAAAAATCTTGAAATGTACATTTTAATGACATTTTTTATGTACCTACCTAGTACTGTAACAAGATATAGTGGCATATTAATTAAAGTTATCACAGAATAACAGGTCCTTTAAAAGAAATAACAATACGTACGTGGAAACAATATTAGTTAGTAAACACGAAGAAAAAAGTAAGGTTAAATGTACTGGTTGCCGCAGGAACAAAAACAAAATCATTGCGCAAACGCGACTACGTTCAAATGTCAGGAGTCAAGAGTACGTTCAATGTTAAAACACCGCAGTGTGTGAAGAGTATCCGAAGGCCAAATCAGATGATTTTTTTAGATATACAGTTTTTGAAGTAATAATAGTTGTTGAACTTGTATTTTAATATTAAAGTAATACTGAAAATGTTAGCGATTGGTTCAGTATTTAATTTGTGTTAGGCAGCTCGTTTTAATAGTGTGTTCCACATTTTAATAATTTAGCATCCACTTACACGTTTTCAAACTTTAAGAGGGCTCTATAGCAAATAGGCAACCAGCAATACATTTTTATAGATTTTGTTTACATATGAATCAGACTTCCCTCATTTTCTATAAAAATGGACTTAGTTTGAAACTCAAATTACTTTTTGGTGTAAAGGAATTTGTAAATGATGTCACTTGTTCAAAAGCAGCAAATTACAAATTTCTTTAAACCAAAAAGTAATTTGAGTTTCAAACTAACTACATTTTATAGAAAATATGTGTTAAAATGGGGTAAAGTCTGTTATTTGTGCATTAATTAATATTTAGACAAAGTGCGTAATAAAATCTATACAAATTTATCGCTGGTTGCCTATTTGCTATAAAACCCTTTTAAATAGACCTTCAGGTACTGGATCAGGAGTGGGAACAATGTATTAAGTTACTGTTAATTTAAAAAAAAACCTCTTGTTGTAGAACAAAGTATTTATTTTTTTAGCATCACAGCAAAATAAAGAACAGTTTCTGATAAGAGGTAAAAAAATGTTGTTGGTATTAAACAGAGAGAGAAACATTATGATACAACTAAGTAATATCCAAATGTGTCCCACATACACATTTTGTTACAATCTCTTCTAAGTTTCGAAGAATTAATCGGAAGAATCGCCATCTTCATCATCATTTTCACATATATCTTCAATCTCCTCAATAGTTATCAGTTCCATTATAGCTCTAAAGTAAACGAAAATAACTATTGAAATTACATAATACCTAAATGTTCCTCATATTTATACTTCTAATTTCAATTTTGTTAAAACAATTCGAATAGGGTCACTGCATTAGTTTTCGACTAGTTATTAGATGTGTTGATTCAACAACTTTTATAGATAAACTGTTAAACCAAAAATTTTAATATCGATGTTTCATTAATCTATTTTTTTTTTGTAATTATCCATATTCCAATAAAGAAACATTTTCGATTTTAGAATGTTTAATCAAATATACTGCGTCTTGTAGCTTTGTGTAAACCGATTTAAAGTCCGTACAATGTTTGTTGAGACAGAATTCCAAGAAAAGAATAAGCCAATAATGTTCTATTATCAGAACTACTGTAATAATTTACTGCATCAGAGGCGTGCCTTAAAATTTTCTGCCAATGTCTTTCCATGTCAGGTGTCTAATGCGGTTAATTCAAAGAAAGTGATACAAGGGTCTTCTTGGAGTTCTATATCAACAAATATCGTACGGACTGTACTTGGTTTTGCAATAAAACTCATCAGAAAAAGAATGTTAGGAATTCGATTCTCTGAAGCAAAAAATTAAGATTGTGAATTAATTTTGAGGGATTTACAATAGATGGCATAACGTATACTATATTGCATCGGTTACAGAAGTAACCTTGGAGCCTTATTAGACTAGGCCGCCAGGCGGCGCAGCCGGCTGCGCCACCTGTGACTCAGTCGGCGACACGTGCAGGGCAGGTAGTTCTCGCCAGGCGAGCAGTCTGTTTTGTCTTCCAACAAAAATTTTTGTTCAGTATTTTGATTATAATTTTGTTCAATAACATGGCAATTTGTGACGAAATTCGGGAAACTGGGAGTATTGACGATGAGAAACTTGAATATTTACTTAATTTTTTGTTTATTATTAGAAGGCGTCACATACAGTTTGCACCTGGATTTAAATAACCATAATTTTTTTGTGTCACACTGTATGTCATTTCTGACTAAACATACTTATTCTCCATTCAATTTTACATACAAATGGTACTATTAGTATTCGTCACTAAAAGCAAGATTAAAGTTAAACCTGCGTTGGAATTTTGTAAGTTGAATCATTAAGAGTTTTTTAAAAACAAGTGAAAAAATGTGTCTTTTATTGATTGTATTGCGATAATAATTGCTGAAACAAACATTTTTTTAATTTTTTTTTGGTAGCTCTGTATCCAAGAATCAAGCTGTTGCGGACCCATATTCATATGAACTTTTTATCTTAAAATTAGTCAAAGTTTCACCCAAGTACTTAATAAACACGATGCATATTGCACAATTCAAAAAGTTGTTTATATTTTGAAAATCAATGTTTTCAGCTTCAGAACTGATATGATTTTTCGTTTCTAAATATTTTTGAGAGTAATTTCAAACACATCTTTCACAGTCCAAGTCTCTTTTAATTTTATTTCAACGGCATTAATTTCTTTCTTCAAAATTTTGCTCGAATCCCATTGAATTATATAACCAGTTTCGAAAGCATGATTGCAAATTTTTGATATCTCAAATTTTCGTTTGTTAATGTAAATGTTGACAAAAAACAAACTTTTGAAGTGTGTGATGAGAGTTTTTGTATTTGTCTACTAGTACTTTATTCACTCTAGAAAAATCAACTCTTTCCAGAAATTGTTTATGATGGATTTATTTGTTTTTAATTTTTAATCATATTGGACCAATATCATCTCCAACAGCACAAGTAATCCACGTGATTTTTTCCGTTCTGGTTATGAAAATTTCAGTATGAAAGACTACAGCGAACGCAGTGAAAGAATTGTGTGCACACATAGAAAACACAACGGAAATGATTCCAAGGAAAACTTCACCTCCAGCAAAATATGCAGAGCGGCAGACAGGCCGAGTGATAGGTTGTGTGAATGAAAGCAACTACAAACATATTCTTTAAACAGGCATCAAAACGAAAAGTTAATTTTTTGTTTTAGTTATTTTTGAGTTATGGGAAAAATGTTATTTGAAAAATATTCATAAACATAATTTTCAGTCACTTAAATCCTTTCTATGTTAGAAAATATCTTACCTAAGAATTCTGATTTCATCGTTGTCACCATTCCAATTTACCACACCAGGATGGCTAATTTTGTACCCCAAGAACCAGTTCAATTTTCTTCTAAGCTCTTCGATAACATTAACCGTCGATTCTTGTGCTTTAAATAACAGGTCATCGCCAATGGTTATAACATTCTCGCCATTTTTTATAATATGTCTAAACCGATCCCCAAATAATATAACTGGCAACGGGTGCACCAGAGAGGCGTCGTGTATGAAGTCCGACGTAGTTTTAATTTTTTCCCAGTAGACCAAAAGGGGATAGTCGTAGTACTTCACATCAGACAATACTGATTTCATGTGGAGTTTGGAAGTTCTTCTATTTCCCATTACTTGTATTTTTTTCCCCCTTCTGTAAAAATGGAGGGTTTAGATTAGCTTGTAAATATACAGCTTTGCAAAAATAAATGTTATTGAAATTAAAAAAATTTCTCAAACTCACAAGAAGTTCTAAATCAGGAATATTTAAACATTAAATAAGTATCCGTTAAGTCTAGTGAGAATGAAATTTGGGAATGGTTTGCACAATGTATACCTTGGACATATCGGTGCCGACGAGCAATAAGTCAGATCCCCTTTTTTACATTAGTCAGTTGAAGCGCATGCAAATAATAAATAATAAAGAGAAAAAAGTATTATAAAATTAAGAATTAAGTTATAATGTGACGTATAACAGAAAAAGGAAGCTATTAAAAAGTATTCTCAAAAAAAAAAAAATAATTAAAACTACATAAGTTGTAACAAAAGTAGAAAGCAGAACAAAAAAAAATTAATTTGAAAAATTGCACAGGCTGACAATTTTCAGAACCAGAAACCGGACCTAGTGTACCTGGAGGGTTTTCGTACGCTGATTATGAATCCGAGCTCAGAATTGGCTCATCTCGAGATATTCTAACCTAAAAGTGCAAAAATCGCGGTTTTTCACTATATTCGGGGTCAGATGACAACGTGAATTAATTTTTTTTTTTAAATCGCATTAAACCATCCCAAAGTACCACTCTTACCCTTCTAAGCGCACTTCAATTTTTTTGAAAATCTTTTTTTTTTTTTTCATGGAGATGGTTTAATACTTCAGCGATTTCGTTACAACATGGAAATAAACAAAATTTATTCAAAAACGAGATATAAAGTACATACTTATATTTTTCTTGAGTAGCTGAATTTGAAAACACCGGCGGACCTGCTCCATAACCTCAATATTTCAAGATTCTCTAACCTAAAATTGTGAAAACACTACTATATAAAGCAGATACTTATGTATACACACTGTTACATTCAGATGCTAAGCTCATGACAGGTTCATCATAATGCGCTATAACCTACTACACGTTAACCTAAATGCGCAATAACCAGCGAGGGTTAAATCCACGATAGGTTAACCTTAATGCGCAATAACCAGCGAGGGTTAAATCCGCGACAGGTAAACCTAAGTAAGCTATAACTTGCGAGCGCTGAAACCACTAGAAGTTAACCTTAGTGTGCTGTTTAGCCCTCGCTGGTTATTGCACATTTAGATTAACGTGTCACAGGTTATAGCGCATTATGATCAACCTGTCATGAGCTTAGCATGCGAATGTAATAGTGTGTATACATAAGTATCTGCTTCATATAGTGGTGTTTTCGCAATTTTAGGTTAGAAAATCTTGAAATATTGAGGTTATGGAGCAGGTCCGCCTGCGTTTTCAAATTCAGCGGCTCAAGAAACATATAGGTACTTTATATCTCGTTTTTGAATAAATTTTATTTATTTCTATGTTGTAACGAAATCGCTGAAGTACTAAACTTCAAACTTCTATGGCAAAAAAAAGATTTTCAAAAAAATCGAAGTGCGCTTAGAAGGGTACAAGTATTTTGAGATGGTTTAAAGCGATTTTAGAAAAAATATAATTCACGTTGTAATCTGACCCCGAATATAGTGAAAACCGCGATTTTTGTACTTTTAGGTTAGAATATCTCGAGAACCTAGGGTGATGGGCCCTCTCTGAGCTCGGATTCATAATCAAACCATCAATGAGCAACGAATAAAAAGAATTACATGCATAATTTTGTTCTAAGCAGAGAAATGAAATGGGTCAATTTCTCTGGCACCTCTCAGAGAAACATGAAATTCGATTTCGAATAGCAGGTACAAGCCTTACAACTACTTACAAATAGTTTTAAGTCATATATTTTCTGTGCATATCAACTACTTTTAAAGACTACATATTTCAAGAATTTTTGCTGTATGTGTTCCAGTTTCAAAGCATGACAGAATCTCGTAGCATATTATTAATATGGTATGTGTTCAACTTTGTTTCTTTCTTAAAAAGATATGGAAGGATTAAGATCCACATCGCTTCTGTTACATCAATTCGAGAAAAATGAAAAGGATAGAAAAACAGTGGCCCCAAGTGAGAGCTTTTGGGCACACCCGACACGATTACAATTTTATTGAATACAATATTACCGAATCTAATCATCTGATGCCTTTCTGAAAGATAACTTTTTATCTAATTCAAAGGAAGACCACAAATTCCAAACATATGAAGTTTATGGATTAAATTAATATGATGTACTCTATCAAAGGCTTTGGAAAAATAGAATCTGCTTGAGGTCCAGCCTTAAATATAGAAGGACACAAACCAACAAATTTAACTCGGTACACTAAAGGGTGGGCCACCAGTAACGCCTCGGTCGCTAGGGACCAAACGGCAAATGTTACAGAAACCTGTTTAGGTGGGTATGTGTAGGTTGATTACGGCTACATTTTAAAAATATTTTGAAATATACAGGGTGTGCAGGAAAAGCGTACCATATCAAAGTTATGTATTTTTAAATGGAACACTCTGTATTTTACTACATTTTTGAAAGCACCATAAAAAAATAGGTGAACTTTATTAAAGGTTCTGCATACCTAGTCTTGTATTTGAGTATAGCTTGATATAACAAATAATTATTTTGACTACATTGGAAAGAGATAAAGAATAAGAGATTTCGGCTTTTTAGAATCCTTAACAAACCATATTTAGGTAGGTTTCGTTGAAAGAATTACATATTTAGCCGATAATTGATAATAAATAAATTACTTAATTTAGTACCACAACAAACACTAAAAATCAAAATAAACGCACAGGAATTTCGAAACAGAAGAAGGGACATTATTTTTGTTAAACTGTATGTAGATAATGAAAAAAAAACAGTTTTTTTTAAAAATAGTCATTGGCGTAGAAGTACTGTCTAAGAAAGAAGTTGACCACCCCCTCCACTCCGCCACTGTGCAAGTTTTTGAACACTCTGATCGCTTGTTTTATGCCCCTTAATTAATAGGCATTATCTCCCAAACATGAAAAAAATCTAAGCATAAGTTATAATGAAAATTCAAGAGAAAAAAAAATTATATTCAACACCCTGTGTCTCAGAAATGAAGCCTTCTACGACATATGTTTATAGGAACTTTCCTTTTTAAAAACATGTGCTCTATCTCCTGTTAAAGTTTGTCTACAGAAAACTGACTCACCCTGTATAAGATCTAAAAGAACATTGAAATGAGAAGTTAAAACATTACAAACTACAGTCTCAAATACTTTTGTAATAATATGAAAGATGCCCTTGGGATGATAAAACTGTTAATGAGAGTGTTATTTGCTTTAAAAATGGGAGAAATAAAGCTTAATTTCCAAAAATTAGGAAAAACTTTTTGGCGATAAACTACATGACACTGCTTCCTCGCCCACCCTATTCACCTGATCTGGCACCCTGTAATTTTTTTTTGTTTCCCCGGATAAAAATGGAGCCGATAGAAAATCCAAGGCGGCGCTGCAAGGCATTGAAAAGGATGAGTACGAAAGGTGTTTCACGCAGTGGAAAAAACATTTGATCAAGTGTATTAGTATTAATGGAGAGTACTTGAAGGTGACTAAGATTTGTAACCCGAAAAACTAAATTCTGTATTTTTTAAAAATGGTGTCGTTAATTTTAGATCCACCCCTAGTACCATGTTTGTAATTAAGACATCAAAAATAATTGGATCATTGCATGGTCAATAGGTTCATCTAAGGCATACCGATGAGAACTAATAAGTTTGAAACGGCTATATGTCTAGCGGTTGCTGCTGATAAATGATCCTAGCGGGTATAATTCAATGGTAGTTGGGGTATTAACCCTTAGAGGAGTTGCCTCAACGTCATCGGTTAAAACAAATATTACTTACGAAATAACGGCAACATTGGGATATAATCCAGCACATACCACTGCTTTGATCAAGGCTTTATTATTGGAATTCTTATTGTTAACTGGATTTTTTGAGTTTATATCCCTCACAAAATTGAGTTCCGCCAAGTGGCCCATGAAGTCTTTCTTCATTTTCTGGAGCAGTCTTAAGATGTACGGACTTAAGAAGTACTCCCTACAAAACCGGGTTGGGTTACTCTCAGTTTCAAACATTTCCAAAGCCTAAAAGAAAAAAAGTTAATTGAGGCACTCGGACTTAGAATAAACATATCATCAGTCACTAGAAGTAAACATACCTTATGGAGAAGCAAGTGGTCACTCAGCCAGTCACCGGCCAACTCCACCCTCTTCAAATCGACCTGCGCTTCCTTTCCGAGGGGTATTTGAAATGCATCCTTAAAGTCTAAGGAAACGGCAACTGACAGTATGGGATCTAGACAGCTGAAAATGGCACCTAAAAGTATCATCTTCCCTATCTGCGGTGAAAGTGGTAATTTAGCCAGATGGAAACCGAGAGGTGTTAAATTTTCATTTCCATCCAAGGCGTATATCCTCCGGAGAAGGTTCAGGGATAAGGCGATAGCCTGGGGGTCGGGTGGGTCCATTAGCTTTTGGAAGAACGGCTCTACCTTCCCTAACAAAGAGATGACACAATTACAACAGCTCCACAACATCAAAAGTGTGACGTTATAGTTTAGTTTAGACGTTTAGGAATCTACTTTTGTGTTAATTTGTAATTGTTTTTCAATCATTTCAAAAACAGTCAAGATACCTTTTCTCTTCCAAATTGAACAAGGAATTTAAAAATAATTTTTATTTTAAGAAAAATCAGTGGCGTATCATTTTTTTTCCATAAAAATATCCAAAGACGTGCCTGTGCGCACACCACTGGTGAAACTAAAAACAATATTTTTATCGTAAAACTTGTATTGTTGTTAATTGTCAAAGCTTGTAAAATTTCATTAAAATATTCTGATCGGTTTCCACAATATTTATAAATTAGCATTTTTTAATTAAAACTTTATCACCCAGTAGATCAGAAACTAAGCATTTTCGGAATATGGTATATTAAGGAAATATATTACAAATCACTTGCACTATAACCTTCTGCAAGGAATGCATTGACTTACCAAACACCCTGTATATCTCGTTTCTAGTTGATTTTACAACAAAAATGGTTCTGTATTAAATTAAACTACACAATTTTCTCTACAAAATGGGTCTCTCTCTCTCTCATTTTTTTCATAAAACTAACCGTTTTCACGTACAAGAATTACAAAGTTTAGAGGTGTTTCAAAATCTTATGAGCTTTGACCTTCATAAGCGCGGAAATATAATTCCGACCGTCGCCTAAATTATTCTACGTCCTAAAAACATTACATCTATTATTCAGTCTATCTCGAGCACTCGTAGCGTAAACTAGCCTTTCATCCTATTACAAATATCATAATAAAATGCCCTATTCTTTATTATTTTAATTTAAGCAATAAAAATATATATAACGAACGTTCGCCAGTTGACTTTATTGATGCCCGAGCCCCTTAGTTCATTTCTGGTTGTAATGAGGCACGTGGTCTAATTCTGAATCAATGTTTTCACAACGTGCTTATTAGAAGAATTATGCGGATACGCCATGCCTTTCGCGCATTTCGTGACTCATGAGATTTTGAAACTACTTTACCATGTACGTAACGTGTAAAACAATACGCATTTAATGTGTCTAATCTTCAGGAAGTTATAAAAATATTTAAAGAAAAAGATGCTGACAAAGAAATGTAGCTAAAGCTGAAGAATACTTTCTTCTCGGACTTTACAGCTATAATAAAAAGGAATTTACACCTCTGAACACTTATAGGCACCAATGTTTCATAAAATCAGCATACAGGAATAAATTTAACATCACTTCATTGCCTCCTACAGAAGTAGCAGCAAGACAACATTCATTTCGTACGTATCATCAGCAATGGATTGGTAACGAATAACCTGCAGATCAATGGGGATGGAAGAAAGACAAAACTGGTCTTGTCCCTCTGACTACACCCCAAGCCCCTGCTCCAGAAGTTCTTCTTAAACTAATTTCTTGTAAATACAAGAAAGGATGTCAGCGATCTTGTGGATGTAGGAAAACAGGGCTCAACCGTTCTATAATTCGCTCAAACTGTGACAATAGATGTGATAACATGCCTTAAGCATTGGAAGATAATGGTCACGATGAAGATACTGATACGATCTTAGAACCACTGTGTACTGAAAACAATATAAAAGTAGAGAAGAAGCTACTGCGCTAGAAGAATTGATCCCACACGACTCTGAGTTCGTTGCCTTCAACTATCAAAAACATCGATAAGGTTGGTCCCTTAGGGGTATCAAAGCGAAAGAAGTTATTGTAATTTTCATTTATGAATTAATCTGTGGATTAGGTCCATTGGGGAAGCCACAGAAAAAAAAACGCGCCATATACAAAATGGGTATTACTTTTCATTGCACGTTAAATGGTGACTTTTGTTAGTCTCCTATGCAAAACGAGTCGGTTTTATGAAAAAAATGGCTAGAACCTATTTTGTAGCAAATTTCCTGGTCTTTAATTTGTTACATAACTATTTTTGCTGTAAAAGCAATGAGTAACGAGATATCTTAAAAAATCTCTTTCTTCCCAATTTATTACAATACGGCAGCGTCGGCGGCAAAAATACGAGGTGGCACATGAAAAATTTGAAATGAGAAGCTCAAAATCCGTGAAATTGTAGAATATCAAAACTTCCGCAAAAGGTAACTTACAACATGTAATTACTGGACTAAAGCTGATCCATGCACACATACGACCCAGTTCAGGAGCTGCTCAGTAGCGGCGTAGACAAGAGTTTAAGTGCAGATTAAAATCGACTATTTATTCGATTTAAGAAAAAATGATTTCAATGTTAGTACATATTTACTTCAATTTTAATATGATACTAACAGTCCAATTTTAAACTTGATGCAACTTTAAGAAAATTCAAAATTTTGTTAAAATCAGTTCATTATGAAATATGTGCAACTTGTTTTGAGATCTGACTTAATCATCCGCTTTAAAATTTTTGTTTTGCAGATTTAATTAAGACAGTTCTTTTTGTAAGCACAGAAAAAGAGGTATGGGTCCCAAGTTTCATTATTAAAATACGAGGGTTGCCTTTTATATTTTGGGAATGGATGATCCTGGTGCTGCCACTAGACGTCCTTATTGTAAAGTTCGATTTTTTGTCGGTGTGTTTACTCAGAGCTTTTTGATGTATAGGCGATATTTGTTGTTTACAGTGATTTGAAAAATTTATCTTGGCAAAAAAAATGTAATGAAATCGTGAACATCCATGCGATTATTTTTTACAACTCTCAACATGGATTATCTCAACAACAGTGATCGATGAACTTAATTCGACTTTTGGTAATAAAGCACTATCAAAAACCACTGTGTTAATTGTGGACGTGGTTCGTGCACTGGCGAATTTCGTGTAGGTCGTCAAAAATCGGTTGTTCCAGAAAACATTGATGCTGTGCATGAAATGTGACTTATCATGAGATTGAGGCACCCTTAGACATTAGTGGGACCAGCATACATTCAATATTGTATGAATATTTGACATAAGTTCAAAAAAGGCTGGTGTCGGTTGGTCAAAAGAAATTCTCAAGAAATACGATCGCGGAGTTTCAAAACATGTCTATAACATCATAACAAGATTTATGCCTACAAGCCCAAAAGTAAACAGCAGTCGACTGTATGGATCTTTCATGATGAGCTAAATCCAATAAAAGTTGTTTGCATACAAAGCACTTCTAAGCAAATAGTCGCCTGTTTTTTCGGAAAAATCGGACATTTGGTAACAGTACCATTAGTGTAATGTCAGACGGTCAATTCTGAATGGTACACAACGATTTGTTTACCAGAAATCCTCAGAAACATTCCCATCAGGACAATGCAAGCTCTCACACAAACAAAAGACTGTTTGAGAACTGAAAAATTCGAATTGATAAGTCATCCACAGTGCAGCCCTGATTTGGCACCCAGTGACTTTTTTTTGTTCTCTCATGTCAAAAATAATCAGGTCAATGTTTTTCAATTCCTGAAGAAGCAGTTGATGCGTTGAAAATGCATGCTTTGAACTCAATCAGAATGGAAAAGTACTTCGAAAATTAGTTTAATCGCATGCAAAAGTGTATTGATCTTCATGGAGAATATTTTGAAAAACAATAAAGCCATATAGGATGATTAATTTTTTTTTTGTTCTCTATTCCCAAAATACAAAAGGCAACCCTTGTATAATCACTTATTACGCTAAAAGTGGCAGGAACGCTTTCAATGACGGCAGTAATTCATGTTGTTATTACAGGATTGTCTTACCTAACTGTAGTATTTTAGCTGTCAAGATGGTACCGTCTGGTCGCATACGCAGTATTTCAGGTTTTTGATATTTTTCCAGAATCTGGTATCTCGCCTTACTAAACAAATGGAAGCAGACACCAGGCCTTACTCTACCAGCTCGACCTTTCCTCTGATCGGCATTCGCTAAACTTACCCATTCAGCAAATAAAGTCTGATTATTGGTAGCGACATCAAAATTTGATATTTTTATTCTACCGCAATCGATAACGTACACAACATCATCTAAAAGATAATAAGAGAAAGTATAAAAATAACTAAAAAAATAATATGTAATAAAAGTTCCAAAATAGTAGGTAGTAAGTCAACTCAAAACCACCTTCGTTTTTCTTTGGTTGCATGTCTAGGGGGTTGTAAAATATTATTATTTGAACATTTAGAGCACAATTTTCAACTTTATGCCGGAAAAAAAATTCTACCCCATCTAAATGTTCGTATTCACAAAAAATTCGAAATACGTCGGCGAGAGGGCCCTATAAGCAGTTAAGAACCACTCTCGCTTTTTTTGGTTGCCCGTCTAGGGGGTTGTAAATATTATTATTTGAACATTTAGAGCAGAATTTAAAAAAGTATCTGGAATTTGTGAATAAAATGCAATATATTCCATTACTCACATGACTTTGATTTTTGATCGACTCTTACGAGGTTATTTTTGGTTTGGGCTCATTAGAAAAGTGCCATTCTCAAGTTTGTTGGCTCGCTTGCATGTCAAACTGTAAAACTAATGTCCCGTCACCTGTTATGATGCCTTGCATGAATGTAGAGTCCGAATTAGCTCGTTCTAGCACGTCTTCAACATGTTTGCAATCCTTTTTGAAAAAAATTCAGCTCTTTTGGAACCAGCCGTGCTGCAACTTGTTTCATACGCAAAATATCAACTAAAATGGTCCGAATTGATATTTAGTTCATATGCCACCTCTTATTAGTTGAAGACGTTGAAGGCTGACCAGAACGTGGCAAATCATTAACCACTTCTCGAACATATTTGAATACTTTAGACCATTTGTATGCTTGAGTTTTCAATAAAGTTGAATTACATGTCTTTCCTAATATTTTTAACGATGCAGTACAAGAAATTCAGTTGGTAGTACAAAATTTTAGGCAAACTTTTTGTTTGGTATCACCATTTGTAGTAAAAATTGCAGAACACCCTTTAGGTGAACCAACAAAATTAATAACTGTGACAGATTGCGATCAAACTCCACACGTCAGAATAGAGAACAGTGCTACCAACATTCCATCAAAAAAGGAAATTCTAGCTTACGTGGACCTTTTAAATGACAAATTCCGGACACCTGTTGACAGAATGTACATTTTGAAAGTGAGCCGCTGCCTACAATTTTGGGACTTATAATTTGTTACTAAGATCTACTTGCCAATTGTTATCGAAGTTTCGGCAATGTTTGTAGAAATTATGATTTTCCTCATGCCTCTCGGGGCTGGATTAAAAATTTCCTTCTGTTCAACTGTGGGCATCTGGGAGTGTAAAGGAATTATTAAGTACTTGTGACTGGGAAATTTTCCACAATTCTCGAGTAATTTGTTGAGGGAAGATATGTTCATTAATCCTGGGAGGAATATTAAAATAGCACCCTCTTTGTCTTCCTTCAGAAAAAAAAAAAGAAATTAATATTAAGGTACAATTGTTATAAGATAAAATATAAAGATTTTAGACAGATGTAAGACAACATTTGTTATAAAATTCTAACCTTTTCACAGATGTACAATAACAGTTCCTTAATTAAATTAATATTTAATTGCTCACTATTTGGATTTCTCAACTGCCTACAAACCACTTCATCATACTTCTGTTCTTTGCATAATTGCCTTGCATATGGTTCGACATAACTAACAAAATCATTATCTTTCATTTTCTTTCTATCAAGATGTTGTCTCCAGATAGGCTTAGAAGAATTACGACCTTAAACATTACAATGGTAAGATCAATAATGATCAAATATAATTTACACAATTAACCACAGTAAATACATTGTCTTTCAATTTAATCATCATTACAGAGTTTTATGTTTACTTACCAGGAACATTATTTTCAAAAAATTCAAATTTTGTTCTTTGTAAAACATCTTCAAGGAAATACTGTGTCACGGGGTAAGTAAACCCGGGTATATTGATATGGGGGCAGTTGTCATAATATTTTGAAAAAGCATCAGAATTTAAAGTGGCACTCATCAAAATTACCTAAAAAGTCATACCAAATACAGAGAACAAAAAAAATGTATATCATCCTTTGATCGATTTGACTCATAGAGCATTAGAAATGATTGAACTGTGCATAAGAGGCAGCTTTTTAAAAATAAACTAATTTAAAACATTTTCGCTATGTACAATTTAATTTTTTATTAATGTTTAACACACTTCAATAAAATTTGTAGTGGTATTTTTGGGATGGTTGAAGATGAACGTAGGCTTGTTTTTCAAATAAAACTTGAGTCTTAATTTTCTTTGCAACATATAACTGTTGATACAGATTTTGGGAAAACACAGATGCTTTATCAGTTTATCTGGATATTGTTAAAAAAATACGCTTTTAAATATTCTAATGTTAGTTACAGATATCCAAGTAGCTGAAGGTATTGTAATTTAATTAAGAGGTGACACCACTGCAAAATTTTAAAACTAAGCATTTTTACAATTTTCTTTTTTGAATGGAAGGAAAAGCTGGAGGATAATAATATTCAAGGATGTTAATAACCATGTACGTAAACGTTCAAAAACAATATTTATTCATAAATAGTAGAAAAATGGCAATGTTGAACCCATTCTTGTAAAGCATGTTGAAATTGAGGTGCTCTGTGGCATGTTTTGTCACTGACGCAAATTTGAATATAGAAAAAAAAACATTTTATCTTAATCTACATGAGTATGGTTAGAGAAACACATAGGGGATTTTAAAAACATTAATTTTTGTGTGATTGGAGAGCATTTGAAGTAAAAAGTTTAATTTTTGATAAAAAAAACCCCTTACTGAAAATCTCGTATGTACTTATCTTCAAAATGTTATTTTCTGGATATGGTCAAAATTTGAAATGAGTAGAATGAAAATTGTTGGAATTATCCTGCATGCCATTTTAAAAAGTAGTGTTTGGAAAATAATGCCTTTAAAGTTGTAAGATATACGCTATACTAATCTACTTTCGTTTGAAAATGTTTCTAATTGAACACAAACTTGTTCTAACAACATCTGTCAGTAGTAATAGAGAAGTTATAAATCAAAAGGTAAGTTATTAGGCCGTACCCTTCCAACAGGTATGCCACAAGTAGTCGTTTCAGAGCAGTTCGAAGCAATTGGGAAAGACTCAGAATTTCAAAGAAAAAAATTTTGTACAGATATAAAAATTTACATCACCCTTTTATTAAACTTATACCGTTATAAACATTTTACAATTTATATAGACTTGAAAGTCAGCACCCACTGGGATGTTGAGCATTAAATGTTGTTTCAAGGAACTGCATTGGAATTACTACATAATATTAGATGCTGACTTTGATTAGAGGCAGATTGGTAAAAGGGCAAAAAATATTTAATATACCTAGAAATTTAAAACTAAGATGAAGAAGTGAAATCTATTTTTCTTCCTATTATTGCGACATGCAACAAGTTACCTTTTTACAATAAATAAAGTGACGTTTCGATAAGTATCTGTCATATCTCCATAAAAAAAAGCAAAAAAGAAATAACTATTTAAAAAATATGCTCTTATTGATGTTCATCATTTCCCAAAATCCTCCTTGAACCAAATTCCATTGAAAACTAAAAGTGTAACTTTCTATGGAAGCAATATTAAACTTAGAAAGGGATCTTGTTGACTATAATTAGTTTTCCAATGATCGAATTAGAATTTAGTGATGCTCGTACATCAGGGTTGTGAGTTATAAAAAAAAGATTATTCTTAGGGGCAGATTTCAGGGGGCTATAACTCCAAATGAGGGGGCCAGTTAGCAAACAGAAAAAATACGGGTCCTCTAAATTTGTCTTAAGAATCTATGACCAAATTTTGTTGCATGAATTTCGGGACACCCTATATAACAATTCGAAATTTTTATTACTATTGCAAGAGATTTTTGAGAAAAGCTTGATCATAAAAAATTCTGTAACTACGAAACATTCATAGAACCTAACAATATTCATAGGCATAACTACAATTTTTACTTGGGGAGGGCTCAGGTTTGCAGGCTCTATGGAGGCTTTAAAAAAAAAACTGCAACATACCGATATAAAATTTGAACACGTTTTGATTTGATTGTAAAAAAAGTAAAAAAAAGATCACAGTCACCGATTACTGATATGACAAAAACGATAATATTCGATCTTTTTTTCTGGGGTGGGCACCGGGCTTTCTGGGGATAGATTGTACGCACTCCTGCCCCCTCTCCCCCCCCCCACTACCTACACCCATGACATTATTAAAATACTAGAATTGTGAATTAATTTTAAGGAATTTACAACAGATGGTGTAACTTATACTATATCACAGCGGACACTTCTGCAACCATTCATATTAAAGCTCTGTAATTAGGTTTCTTTTTGTTGTGTGTCATTATGCTGAAGTGTAAACACATATATTTTCTCAGCTCTGACAGACAACAAAACGCCATTTGCGGGAAGTTTCACTTTTCCTNCTAACAACATCTGTCAGTAGTAATAGAGAAGTTATAAATCAAAAGGTAAGTTATTAGGCCATACCCTTCCAACAGGTATGCCACAAGTAGTCGTTTCAGAGCAGTTCGAAGCAATTGGGAAAGACTCAGAATTTCAAAGAAAATAATTTTGTACAGACATAAAAATTAAAATCACCCTTTTATTAAACTTATACCGTTATAAACATTTTACAATTTATATAGACTTGAAAGTCAGCACCCACTGGGATGTTGACCATTAAATGTTATTTCAAGGAACTGCATTGGAAGGACTACATAATATTAGATGCTGACTTTGATTAGAGGCAGTAGTAATAGAGAAGTTATAAATCAAAAGGTAAGTTATTAGGCTGTACCCTTCCAACAGGTATGCCACAAGTAGTCATTTCAGAGCAGTTCGAAGCACTTGGGAAAGACTCAGAATTTCAAAGAAAAAAATTTTGTACAGACATAAAAATTAACATCACCCTTTTATTAAACTTATACCGTTATAAACATTTTACAATTTATATAGACTTGAAAGTCAGCACCCACTGGGATGTTGACCATTAAATGTTGTTTCAAGGAACTGCATTGGAAGGACTGCATAATATTAGATGCTGACTTTGATTAGAGGCAGATTGGTAAAAGGGCAAACAATATTTAATATACCTAGAAATTTAACACTAAGATGAAGTTGATTTACACTACAATAATGGACTCAAATATTTTGTTGTCCATACTGGGCTACAGCACTATAAAAGTGAAATCCATTTTTCTTCCTATTATTGTGACAAACAACAAGTTACCTTTTTACAATAAATAAAGCGACGTTTTGATAAGTATCTGTCATAATATTTCCATAGAAAAAACAAAAAAAGAAATAACTATTTAAAAAATATGCTTTTATTCATGTTCATCATATCCCAAAATCCTCCTTGGACCAAATACCAGTGAAAACTAGAAGTGTAACTTTCTATGGAGGCAATATTAAACTTAGGAAGGGATCTTGTTGACTATAATTAATTTTCCAATGATCGAATTAGCTTCACTTTTGAATAATTATAATATGTATTCAGTTGCAATATATTTTATATGGGTCGATACGATATTGGCTCACTTAATATAGCAATTCGAAATTTTTATTTATTACAAGTGATTTTTGAGAAAAGCTTGATCATCAAAAATTCTGTAAATTTCTGTAACTACGAAACATTCACAGAGCCTAACAGGCTTCATAGGCATAACTACAATTTTTACTTGGGGTGGCTCTATGGAGGCCTCTAAAAAAAAACTTCAACTTACCGATATAAAATTTGAACACGTTTCGATTTGGTTGTTAAAAAAAAGATCACAGTCACCGATTACCAATATGACAAAAATGACAATATTAGATCTTTTTTCTGGGGTGGCCACCGGGCTTTCAGGAGGTGGGTTGTGCACACCCCTGACCCCCCTCCCCCACCCCAGCTACGCCCATGACATTATTAAAATACTAGAACTGTGAATTAATTTTAAGGGATTTACAATAGATGGCATAACTTATGCTATATCGCAGCGAACACTTCTGCAACCATTCATTTAAAGCTCTGTAATTAGGTTTATTTTTTGTTGTGTGTATTATACTGAAGTGTAAACAACAAATTTTTCTGACAGACAACAAAACGTCATTTGCGGGAAGTTTCACTTTCCGTGTTTAATTCAAAGTGTTGCTGAAACTTATCGAGTGCTGTTGGAAGCTTATAGTGAACATCGATAAGAACATGTGAGTATTTGTGCGAAAAAGTTTGAAGATGTGGAATTGGAAGCATTACTCAACCAAGATTCATGTCAAACCCAAGATGAACTTGCTGGATTGTTGAATGTTGATCGCACAACAGTTTCCAAAAGCAAGAAATTTGGATGCTATACGAATTATTGATGAAAGGGTCTTTTGCATCACATTGTTAATAGCGATGAAAAATGACTATGCTATGAAAATCCTAAGCGTAGAAAATCGTGAGGTTTGCCTGGTCATCAACATCGACGTTCAGGCTGGGACCAACTTGGTGTTGCGTACTATGAAACTCCTTCAACCAAATGAAACCATCACTGGTGAACACTATCGGCGAGACTATCGGAAAGAAATGATGCATATGAGCACCGCATTAAAGGAAAAACGGCCGCAATTTGAGCAAAAGCACGATAAAATAATTTTTCAACATGACGAGGCTCGAAAACATGTTGCTCATGAAGGCAAAATATATTTAGAAACAAGAAATGGAATATTTTACCCCACTCGCCGTTTCACCAGATATTGCACCATCAGATTACTACTTGTTCCAATACATGGACCAGGGCCTGACTAAGCAGCACTTTCAATCTTAAGAAAATATGAGAAATTCGATCGATTGGTGGACAGCATCAAAAGAAGAAGATCATCAGAATCCATATGCTACCAGAATTATACTTTGAAAAATAATAATGTACACAACTTTTCATAAAACCTTGAATTTACAAAAAATCACAGTCCTAGTACTTACTATTTTTTTAAAACTAACCTTTAAATCACTCCTCTCTTTGAGAACTTCCTTTAGTAGAGTAATTAAAAAATCCGACGGGACATTCCTTTCATGAATCTCATCTAGAATAATGTGAGAAACATTGCTTAAACAGGGATCTGACTCCATTTGCTTCAACACCACTCCGGTTGTACAGAAACATATACAGCCTCGCTTTCTAGGTAATGCCCTAAAAAATAATAACAAAGATATAGTGATCAAATTATAAAAGCAAGATTCGTACTTCTCAAGTCTAATTTGGTAACCAACGCTCATTCCCAATTTCTCCGCCCTTTCTTCTGCTACCCTTTCAGCTACGGAGATAGCACTTATTCTTCTAGGTTGTGTACACACGATTTTACACATGGAACCCTTTTTGTTCTCTATATAATAATCTAAAATAAACTGAGCGACTTGTGTCGTTTTGCCACATCCCGTTTCTCCACTTATAAGAACCACTTGATTTCCCTCAATTATTTTTATTAAGTCTTCTTTCATTTTAAACGCAGGCAGTCTTTTGCGTTGGTTTATCATTTCTTTATATTTTGGTTTATCTTGTTTCGCCATATATTCTTCCAGAAATTGTTCATCGTTCACTGGCATTTGAACTATATTACTACAAGATGTTTTTAATTTATCAAGTATGTTACCATGTATTAATGATAAAAACTCTCTTTTAAATGAAGAATCCTTCATGAAAGAATATGGTTCTTCACCTATTGTACACAGGTTTTCGATGGAGTTATTTCTCAACATCTTTTTAATCTCTAGCAGTTTAGCATCAGAAATAACAACTGTAGCCACCTTAAAAAATAAGTAATTAGCACAAAAAATTAACTCTGTCTCTAATTCGCATAAACTAATTGATTAATTACAAAAAAAATTAGAAAAATACTTTTCAACTCCCATATTATTTAGACTCGCTTACATTATATATATACACCAACAAACAATTCAAAAGTGACATTTTTTAAAAGTATGTTACTAAGTATTGCTTTACATAATTACTCACAAATCTATCTTGAAGACGTCTATGAGTATTTCGCTGCTTGTAAAACAAACCAATTTCCTTTCCTTTTAAATGAGGTGGACGTGAAGGTTTACGGGATTTATCTTCTGCTCTTCCATTTGGGCTGTATTCTCTTCGCATGCGCTTCTTACATCCTCTGCCTGACATGTTCTACAAAACAGTTAAAGTGATTTGTACTTAATAAACAATATAACAAGTCACTCAGAAGTAATTATCTATACATAAAAAATATTACATATCCATACACAACAAATGCAAATTGAATTAAAATTTTATTAACATTGAAGATCACAAAATCTTTTAGATCTACTATTGCTAAGCTAAGTATTTTTTTTTGATCTACTATTAGGCACTACTGCTTTATAACATTTTGTCACTATTTTGTAATCAAAATAAACTAATTTAAATGTTTCGTTTTAGTTTTATTGATCTATTTTCCTTTATTTATACCTACTTAATTGTACTACACCTATATATTTCCCATACTTAATTTTAAAAAAAATACCAAAATGACGTTTTTAATTAAATGGTTTGTCAATACAATTTCAGTTAAAATAAAAGAACGGCACATACTGGCATTTGCATTTAGATAAGAGTGATTATGTTACATTTTATACTTACAATGATTAAAAATGTACTTTTTCAATACCAAATCCTGGTGAAAACAGTATTGCAATTGTAATTCCAAATGCAAATACCATAACACCATAACCTCCAAGAAACTACTACAAATGAATAATGAAATGACATTCTTGATTCTTCTACTTCTTCTAATATAAGAATTGGCTGCGTTCGCCACCTTAACGTTTTATGGAGAAAATAATACCTACGTTCATCAAATTCTAAACTTTTACATCTTTGGTTTTGGAACTGAAAGTAATTTTATATAAAAATTATAAAACGGTTTTATTGAAATTAACGAAAATTAAATTTGTTTTTGGTAATTATTTATTAGGTATATACTAGGTAGGTATATCTAGTGTAAAACTCATAAATACATAAAACTTTTTCATCGAATTAATAAATTTACTGCTCTTTAAATAAGAACAATCACAAAAATTCAAATTTGGTAATGTTAACATTTGCAGACTGGGATAAATAGGATATGAATGACGTATTCATTTATTTTTATTTGTATATATTTTTTCTTTTTGACTTAAAAGATAGGTTCATACATACAGACCTTTTTTTTCTAATTTTTAATCAATTATCTGTGTCGAGTAGTTGCTGGTAAAAATTAAAATGGTCATATTTTGATAATAAAGCAAGGACCCATACCGTTTTCAGGGGGTTGATTTCTAGGTGCACAAAAAGAACTTTTAATGAAGAAAAAATATCGTACGAAATTTGCAAAATAAAAAATTAAATTAGGGGCTGCCCACCCTCTGGGATCTCGAAGAAGGTTGCATATATATTTGCAAATGTAGCAGATATATGAGAGAGGTCGCTTCAGAGGAACTACACCCAATATTTATCTTATATTGACGTTCTTAAAAGAACGACGATTCTTGTAACAACTGATAGATGCAAACAGTCGTTTTTTACTTATTTCTCATAAAATTACAGCATTATAAAATTTGAAAAATAGAATGTTAGTCACAAATTAAAGTCTAAATAGACATATCTACAAATAAAATTTAATTCTGTCTATGTATCAAATCTAAACACCCTATACATAATATATGTAAAAGTGTACAAGTCAAAACATACACATCGAAATTTAATTCTATATTTCGAAAGCAGTTAACACCACGTCAATTTCAACGCAGGGCGATACATCAATATAATAAACGCTCTTTCCTTTATCCAAATAAAACAATAGGCATAATCCCATTCATGTAAATATCCTGGAACTGGCCGAACAATATCGCACGCCGCTGTACCGTTTTGCCAATTATAGCCTCTGATTTATTACCTGAACAAAATCATTAATAGCGACTAGATTCGAAAATATTTCCCGGGCCAGAATTAATACATGGACCCAACAACTAAACGCCTATAAAGTCATAGGTAAATGAAAACGGCTATTTAAATTTCAGTATATCTTCACAATTGCATATGAAATAATTTATTTTCTGAATAAATATAAAAATGCGCCCGTCCAGATTTTCCTAATGGTCATTTGTTCGCGTAGTTATTAATTGAATAACGACTTAGCTATTTGCTATTTAGAGTAGATTTTATTAACGAATTTCTGACCGGCGACTCCACCAATTATTAAACTAAGACAAGTTTGGAGTCTCCAGGCAATTGACCACTCCGTAACTAATTTATGTGTTCCCAAATGGCTATCTAATTTACATTTTCTAGTATATAAACATTTTGTGAAGAAGTTTTGCCACTTGTAAAAGTTTGCTATCTCCTATAAATTTAGAGTAAAGCAGACATAGTGTTTTCGGCATTAAATGCTAATTTAGGATGTTCGGGAATATCGGTTTTATACATACAGGAGCGATTGTATGTACTATGTATAAAACTAATAAAAAAATAGTTATAGGGACATAGTTTCTAAAATGTCCAATGGTATTGTTAAGACCTCTTTAAATGTTATTCTCAAAAATGTTTTTTTTTATATCCTTGACCGTAATATGTTTAGATAATGTTCATCTAATTTCTCTTTTATGCTAATCCCTCCTCCAAAACATATGGGTAATATTTTCGAACACCCTGTAGGTATTTCAGTACATTTGGGGGTATGATTTTATTGTTTTGTTTGAAATCCACAGCAAATAGCAAAATTTCACGAGGACAAACAAAATTTAAAATGCAATGGGTGTACAAACAAAATTGTTATTGGTGTTATAGCATGTCTAGTTTGTTTTAAAGTGATATGAAAGTTACAAAATGGAGTTTTGTGATACCGCATTTAGCGGGCTAGGTATTTCAGTAGGTATAAATAATGTTTCTTATAAACGTTTTAAATCGTTTTATTTTGATCCCAAGAGTATGTGGTTGAATGACATCTTGTGCACTTTCTGATAATAATTGTATTCAGAAAATGTTGTTTTCGGAATAGTTTCTTAATAAAATGCTAATAGTTTTTTGTCAGTTTTTCATTATAATATGTTTTCAACTTACTTTTTTAGTTTGATACAATTGTCGAGTAGAAAAAGTCGGCTTTGTTTTTAAAAAACTCTGAATTTTACAGGTTACATATTTCAAATCATCAACTTCTTCGAATTTACAAATTAACGTTGATATTATCAATCGCTGGCTGGAATGGTTACTACCTATTAATTACTCCAAATACTGTGTGGTGCATATTATGATCAAAAAGAACCCTAAATTAAATACATAATATACAATTGAAGGTCATAATCCAAATACTGTATACAACTATCTTGGTGTTACCATAACAAAGTGGTTTTACATGAAGTACCCATGTACTCAAAATTATCAGAAAATGTGTCCAGTTAGTTTATATGAATCTCAGATCTTTGCTAGATCATAAAATAGTTAATTTTCTCAAGATTTGTAATACATATGCATCCGTATCTCGAGTTTGCTGTAACTGTACGGTCTCCTGTTCTAAAGTAAGACATTCTACAATTAGAATGTATTCAGAGACGTGAACTTAAGCATCTTCCTTACGAAACAAGTCTTGTACACCTAAAACTGCAGTCCCTGGAAGATAGAAGAGTACGAGGTGACCTTACAACGAGGTAGGTATAGAGTTTTCCATGAAAAGTCTACTGTAAGATTTAAGACTACGAGATTATGGTTTAAAATTAAAAAAGGAATATTTTCACGCCCGTACAAGACAGTATTTCTTGCCGATTTGTGTGTTTGAATATCAATCAATTCTTTCAAATTTCAACTTGATCATTACCTAAATTTGACCCAAACGTAACTTTATTTTCAATAATTATTATTTTTGTTTTACATGTTTCATTTTGTTAAATTTTATTTATTAGGATTAATTGTTTTATAGTGAGATGCTAACCCCTTCTGCAATTTCTTTGACAGTCAAGCAGCGATTTGCAAGCACCACATCTTTAACTTTCTGAACGGGTGAGTCATCATTTGAAGTCGAAGGCCTTCCTGGTCGAGGAAATTGACTGACGAGCACTTTTAAATCGTGAAAACCATTTATAACATTGCATACGACAAAGAGCGTCATCTCCGTAACCTTGTTTCAAAAGATGATATGTTTCCGTGAAAGTTTTCCCTAGTTGCACGCAAAATTTTACATTGCATCGTTGTTCCACATTCGCACATTTCAAAAATCAAAATTCAAAATCGTCACTGACAGTTATTACACATGTTGTACTTAATAAACAATATCGCAAAAACAAAATGAGATGTCAACAATCCAAGAACATGTGGTTACAGGGGATGTTATGCGCAACGCAATGCCCAACCACATATCACTAAATAACTCCATTAGCGCGTAATTGAAAAAGTTCGGTTATTTTCTGAACAGACCTCGTATATAATTACGAAATGGTAGAAACTAATGAACGTAATAATAACCGCGTTACAGTAATATACCAATATATCTTTAATTATTACTTCTTAATTCTTCTTCTTATTTATATCCATGAGATGCAGTTTTTCGTGCACCTACTTAAATTTTGCTTCATTTACGCTATCTCGTAAAACGCCAATATTTCACCACTCCACTTTAATACAGAGAATGTAATGTAAGAAATGACAAATTGAGTCTACTTTCGCGGACCTCTCAGAGTAATTGGTTTACATGCGTGTTGCTGCTCAAGTCGGATAAGGTACAACGTCTAAAAATACCGGAAACGTACGTTACATCGTGTAGTGTAGTTACAATGATTTATTAATTTCGGAATAGACAAGATAAATGGTATTAAGTTTGTATCTAGTTTAACCGCTTAGATGCCTTGATAAATAATAATTGACGTTATCGAGGTTTATATGTACAGCGCGTATATTACAGTGTCCTAACTTCACTACTGAGTTGGAAGAAATTGGTACCCTTTGGAACTATGATATCCTCTTGGGATATCAAGTAATGGACGAGAAAGTACGTATCATCTGCGATCAGTTGTGAAAGGAAATTGATATATTAACAGAAATATTGGACAAGCTTAGTACGATACCTAGGAAAATGGAAAAAGAATATCTGGCAACAACCTATTTTCTCTATACGTACCTATAATAATATCTACTATCTACTATCTTCCACCATACATCAAGGAAGATAGAGGTGAAGCATTACCAATGAGATGTGTTCCAAGGTTCAGCTGTAGGTGTATATTTCCTGTTAATAACAGGATGTTCCACCTAAGAAGGATTCTTCTGTAACTCTGTAACTGTATAATAAGGCTAGATAGTGTCTAAACCGTAAGAGTTAGAAACCTGCAGTTTTCACAGCTCGCTTTGGCATGAATTACTCTATCTTGTCATCTGTGAGCAAAACGTGTACGTTATTCAGACTCGGAAATACTGAGACCTATATTTAATAATCTTACGAGTTAAATTTTTTTTCAAATGGAATGACCCATATTAATTGTCATGTCATACAACATCGATACTTAAGATTTTACAAAACTACAGCACGGCACATCCTTATCACATCCAATTACACTAAGAGTTACAGTAGAAGTAGACTTTCAGCGGAGACAGGAGTTTTGTCAGTGAGCACTTGAGATGTTGAATTAAGATGATGATTTTTTAAATGGGCCATGTTCTTCGATGATGATACTTTTCATAAAAATGATTTCGTTAATAGTCATAAGTGACATT